TAAGGCTTCTTTGTTTGAAATTACTTCCAAAGGTCCTTCATTAGGATCTATTTCTGGTTCATTATTTTTAGATTTTATCATTAACACAATTTCTTCATCACTTAACCCTTCACTACCTTTTAAGTTGTCATCAATATGAAGAAAATCTGTTACATCCATAAAATCATCATATGGAAGTTGGTAAATTAGCTCTTGTATCTCTATTTCATCATGAATTGCTTGATCATCATAATTCTCAATTTTATCATCATTCATTTTATCTTGTGAAAGAATTCCTGTATGTTGCTAACAATTAAAAATTGTCTGCTGACTTACAGAATTCCAAGCACTTTTGCTAAAATTAATAGCATCATAAATGTTTAGTGGAATGGTCTCTTTTCTCAATTTTTGTGAAATTTCATATGCTTCAATCCTATTTCTAATAAGTAATTTTCGATATTGTGCCTAAATTATTAAAAAATTACATGATTAATATAATTTGGATTTAAATTTTTTTGCTGTTTTAAATTAATAAAAATATTAAAAAACTACTGACTTTAAAAGATTTAATTATTTCTGCATCACAAGGCTGTAAATATGCAGTAGTGTTTGGTGGTAAAAAGTGTACAGCCATGTTCGTTAAATTTATATTTTCATCTATGATATGTACTGGCACATTATCAATTAGCAAAAGAATGTGACGATTTTGCAATCGCATCTGTCTATCCAATTTTTTAAGATAATCATTCCATATTGAAACCTGCATTCAAGCAGTTGAATTTCAGTAATAATCAACTGGTAAGTCTTCTTTTTTTATCCCATTTAATATTCGTGGATTCTGATATTTATAGATAAAAAATGGCTTCAATTTTTCAGTGCCAGTTGCATTGCATGTAAGTAAAAACGTTACACATTTTTTGAATTTTTTTTTCCAGAAAGTGAATCTTACGCTAATGTTTTTATTGGCTCAAGATCCTAATACAGTCCTAAAATAAACAGAAAATATTAGAATATTATTTAATTATTTTTTTTTTAAAAAAAAATTAGAATTACCTGTTTCATCACAGTTAAAAACATCTTCTAAATTATAATCTTCAATAATTTCACGTAAATTTTTCCTTTTCTCATCTAATGTTTCCAATGGTGCACTTTTTGCTTCACCCCATTTAACATATTGCTTTAAATTGTGATATTCTTTAAATCCATTAATCCATCCATTAGAAGCTGTGAAATTATCAACTTCAAACCGCTGTGCAAAAAATTTAGCTTTTTTACGTATAATATCAGTATTAATAATAAGATCTGCAGCAAGTGCATTAGTTGTCTATAATGAAAGAGCCTCTTCTATTTGAGGAAAATGAACAGACTTTTCTCTCTGTTTATTTAACTCTTTTGAGTCTGGATTTATACTCAGCCACTTTTCTTTCTTTTTTAAAATATCTGAAACGGTATTTTGTTTAATTTTATATAAAGTGACAAGTTCTTCTTGAGTAGGTTGTGGCATTTTTTGATAATCTAAACAGAATTGTTTTTTTTGTGCGTGTGTTAAAACAACTCTTTTCTTTGTTTGAAAAGTATCTTGGGTTGATTTTCTTTTTACATGTAGTTGAGACATGATTTCCCAATGCAAATAAAAATGCGCTACAACATATTAAGTAAAATTATATGTTAGTGTAACCTAAAATATCGGTACATATTACTATATGTTAATTATAAGGAGACAAAGAAAAATATCAGTACATGTTATATCGTGAAACTATATGTAATATCGGTATAACAAGGTTTTTTTATTAATTATGAAATGGGACATGAAAAATTTATCGATACAAGCAATTATCGGTATATACGATATCGGTATATAGAGGTTTGACTGTATACTTATATTTCTTAATAAAATGGTTTTAATCTAATCTTTAAAGTTAAAAGTTATTTAATCTAATAACATCAATTAACGTAATATAAAAATTATGAAGCAGATTTAATTATTAATAATTTTATGAAAATACTTAATTACCAGAGTAAATTTATTCATCGCTCCATGTGATGCATTTCCTCTAGGCAAAATTATATAATGCCAGGAACAGAGAAATTTTTTAGTTAAAAAATCTATTCTTCACGCGCTGCGTTTAATATCACATCTTAGTTTTGACCGGAATATATATATATATGAAAAATGAAGAAAGGAGGGGTGTGACACGGGTGACAAAAGAGAGGCAATGATATCGCACGGCGCGATGAATAAATTACTTTTTAACCGAATAAAACAAAATTTAATAAAATATGATGTTTAATAATTTAATATTTTATCAGAATTTAAAAAAGTTAATAATAATTGTTAAGAATGGTTTGAATATAAAGTAATAGAATATTCAAATTTTATAAATATAAAATTTGAATTATATAATGTAAGTTAACTTTTTCAAAATCAAATTATTAAATTATTAGGAATTTGGGAATTATATATTCTATTCCATTCTATGATAAATTTATTTGAATTAGATTTTGCTAAGGCATTACAAACATATAAACGGATAATTTTTTTTAAAAAAAAATATATATACACAGTATATACTATTCTGAATGGTTTCACCGGATTGAATATTGTCTTGTGCCATGTAATTCATGTATTCCAGTGATAATTTAGAAAGAAATATATATATATATTTTTTTTTATTTAAACTTGTCCTTTTCGCGAGGGCAATGACATATTGAATTTTTTCGAACTCGCAATATGTATCAAACCTTTAAATGGTTGCAAGATAATCAAGATTTTCAATCCGATATCGATATGAAAAAGGTAATAAATAAAACACCCTTGTAAAATTGCGTAAACTTTACGCCCAGGTGGTCAGACAATAACAATAAAATATAATAAATGTCGTACTAAATCATCAAACAAATGAAGGCGTTAAGATGCGAGATGTTTTTCTCATATATTCCTTCTTTTCTTCTTTACAGACGCCAAAGTTAAAAATCAAAAATGTCTCGTCACAGTATTTTCCTCAAAACAGCCAATATTGTTGCCTTTCTCTTAGTTATCGTTGTTAATTCTATCATACATGTGGGTGACGAACGTAAACAACCGGATACTGAACCAGGCGATAATAACACTTTATCATTTGAAAACGATAACGGAACAGTTCCAGTAACCCACCTTTTACCTGCAGAATATACTTTTAAAATTTGGTATCTTATTTATACCTTACTTGGCGGTTTTATCATTTATCAATGGACCGATGCTGCTGAATCTGTAACCGTTGAGGGAATTCAATATTATCATGTTGCTGCCAGCATTTTGAACGTTACCTGGTTATTGATTTGGGTAAATTATTCTTTTTCATTCTCCAAAAAAAAAAAAAGTTCATAAATTGATCTATTTTTCTTATTTCAACATTTACAGCGCAACGAGAATCTCGTTCTCCTCGATGCTTTTGTCCTTGCAGCCCTCTTTTTAGTCACTTTCCGAGCATATAATATTATTACGGAATACTATCCTCCAAAGGTTATTTGGGATCGAATTTTCATTCATTACCCTTTTACAATGTATGCGGCGTGGACTTTTGTAGCGACAATTTTGAACTTTTGGGCAGCAATTTCCACACTTGATACCGTATTCTTGTCCACCATTGCCATCGCATTTCTTGGAGCTATTGGAGTTTACTTTTCTGATTACCATAAAAGAAATGACGCCGTCTTTGCGGCTACCATCGCTTGGGCACTTGTTGGTATTGCGGTTAAACAACAAGATACGGTTCCAATTTTGATTGCTTCATCTGTCGCTTCTGGTTTGATATTAGGAGGTGTTCTGAGAGTTTTGGTTAGACGGTTTGTCGCTTGGTGGAATTTAAGACAAATTAGATATAATCCCGAAACCGATCGTTTAATTCCATAAAAGGATCATATTCTTTGCTGTATAATTACTTTCCTTTTTGATTTGTAATGTAAATTTTATCATCATCATTAAATAAATTGAGAATATTAAAAAAGAAACTTTTTTTTTTATGATTACGATCGATTTATTTGTTATTTGTTTAATTGTTTATTTATTTTTTCTTTTTTGAATACCATACAAAATTTTGAATCATGATCATTAATGTACTCTACGTCGAAGAAAGGAACGATAGCCAATTTTATGGTGTCTTCAAACAGATTTGAAATTACGTGAGACAGTTCATCACCCGTCTGTTTAAAATCTGGAAACTGTGTTGCAAAAAATGGAAACGAGAGTAAGCAAAAAAAAATAACAAATAATGAATGACGAAATAAAAACTTACGGAATTTGCTTCCAATAGATAAGCGTTCATTTCATGATCCACCAAAAAATCAAAGCCAAATAATTCAAAAGCGTTTTCCATGGGCATAAATTGAGTTACTTCATTAACGATAGAATCAAAGCAATCATTTAAAATGGATTTGATTTGATTAAAAATCATCTCTAAATCAAGTTTGCTGATTATACCTACCTCCCCTTCATCATCTTTCGTTGATAAGTCCCAAAATAATTTCACTTGATTTGATTCCTTAAAGGAAACTTCGTTCACTTGTAAACAGGTATTCGTTAAATGTGATAACGCGTCATTGATATCGGTGGGCGCGTACGCGTTTAACGCGAAAAGGGCCAACATATCTTTGTAGAGATAAACTTGTAAATTTGATATCGCTAAAATATAGGATCGAATATGAAATTTTCGATTTCGAATCAACAATGGATTTGATATATATCGTTGTACGACCCAATCCCTTATATGAAATATGCTCTCATCGTCATCTTCTTCATCTTCCTTCAAGTCGTGTTTCCCTTCGAAAACGCTTCTTAACTGATCGATGCTGTCAAAGATTTTGATTTCTGCGCCTTTATTACCTAAACTCGGTTTTAAAATAAATTTAACCTTTTCTTCGTTAATCCTTTCATCATTTTCTTTACATTCGTTTACAACCTCAAAAATTTCTTCAAGAGCTTCATCTAAATAATCTTTGTGCGTAACTTCAAAGTACCAAGTTTCAGGTATGGAACTCTTTAAAATACTATTTTGATTTTTACTCAAATATTTTCGTATATTGAAATTAAAATTTGCTTTACGAATCAATCCTTTCCTGATACAATATGAATTTACCAGTTGCGAATGTTTATTTAACAATGTTTGATTAAAAAAATCGATGTCCTCGTATTCTAACCAATGTACTATTTTTGCGCTCGTGAAGGTAAGCGTCGTCGTCGTCGAAAATTGTAATATTTGCAAATCGGGTAGAATTTTTTTGAATGATTTGATTATTATATTTCGTGTATATTCGTCTTGAATTCCTACTATCGCGATTTTTTTTGGTGTTTCCACCTGTGAAGATTCGATTGACATCTATCACACTTTTTTTTTTTAATGGGAAGTAAAGAGAAAGAAAAAAAAAAAAAAAAAAGGATAAAAATCGAGAATTTTTATTTTGATCCGCATCTTTCACCAAAAAAAAAAAAAAAAATCACTCCACGTGACCTCATATGGCCGGGTGAAATTTTGATCCGCTGCAGGGTCACATGATTTACTTATAAAAAAGGTTAAAAAAGATTTATTAAAAAGAAACCCAAAAAAGAGGGAGAAAATATATATTTATTTTACACCAATTTGTTTCCTACAAGAAATATCAACTCGGAATTTCATCCAGTACCGGAATTTACATCAGCTCGTATACCATGTACACGAAATCGATATAAACATGTATATAATGGATTATCCCAATTACTATTTACCTTCATAATAATGGCTCGAATTGGTGTAGGTTTATTCGGTTTATTCACCACCTCAAAGGTTTGAATGGGCGAACCACTTATATCATAAATAAAACGTCCCAAAAATAAATGATTTGGAGATGATCCAAGTTTTAAATCCTTGCCAGATAGATGTAAAAGATTAGACGATGAAGAATCTAGATTATTTGAAGTTTGTTGGTTAATAGGAATATTCTTTAACGTATTGCTAGTTGAATAATCGAAATTTTCATCGAATTCCTGTCCTGTTTGCTGATCCGTTTTCTCATTGTCATCTTCATCAACAAAGGCCCAGACTTCAAATTCTTTCGGAGCACTGGTTGTTCCCATCGCCACCGTCTTACTTACATGATCATAAGTAATTGCGGTAACATAAATCTTCCTACTCAACAATACAGCTATTTGTCCTTGTTGTCCTGCAAATGGCCAACATTGTCCAACATGAGTTTCCGGTTGTAACGCGGTTATCGGTGGTTTACCCCTCGTAATTCCATGACCGGTTAATTTTGCTATTGCCAGTCTATACCATTGAGTTGGCCATTGCTCATAAGTTGGTGATGTTAATTGACTAATTATCTTCGCTCCTCCCGTTGATAATGCGAAATCTGCCTTATTTAATTTATCCTGTGAATAAGTATATAACATTTCTTCTACTGCCTTTCTAATTTCTTGTCGTACAATATCAACTACAAGATCTTCTCTAGTTGCTAAATCATAACTTTGTGTTGGAATTCTTTTTTGTACTTCCGCTGCACACACCGTTTTGACTTGATCCGCAACCACATCTCGAATCAATGCGTCACTATCCCTATTAAACGCTGTTGATGAATCCGTCAATTCCACGTTATATTGATGAATCACATTATTAATCTTTGTCATGCATTCCGAAAATTCTAGATTCTTCAAGTCTCCCATGTTACAAGGAACAAAATAATAGAAGAGTATTGTGATCAATGTTGCCATCGCAATATATCTCCAATTATCGCGTGTAATCGTACTTTTAACACATTCCTTTGTTAAAATGATCATTTCAATAAGTTTACTCCAAATAAAAGTATTTCTAACCCTATTAAATGCTCGACGAATAAAATTATTAGAATTCCCCCCTCCTTCTGTTAATGCTTGTTGTGTGATGTTATCGTTATCATTGTCAATAATATTGGTAGATGTTGACTCTAATCCTTCTTGTATAATATTTTTTTCTAAAGTTGAAGTCTCTAATGGCATGATAACAGCGGAACAAGTATCATCGGAAGAATTTCCTTCATAGGTAAAAGATTGATATAAAACAGATGACCTTCTAGAATTATTTGTTGAAGTAACTTCAGATCTAATATCAGATGAGGTTTCTACAAATGGTGAAGATGCACGCGATCTACTATTGGCAGAGTATACCGATTCCGTACCAATAAAGGAATTTGCTCTAGATAATGGAATTGACGACGAACGAGAAAAGCTATATGTCGAACTTCCTGAATGATTGATAATTAAATTTGAATAATTATCATCAGAGTTATTATCTGATGATGATTGTTGTGAGGCTAAATTTGATTCTGTCTGTACTGTATTAAAATCTTCATTGGGTATACTTGATACCGAGATAAAACTAGCATTGACATCAGTTGGTTGAGAACCGGAAGGAGAGAGTGAGGATTGTCTTAGTTGATATCTACCGCTACTATTACTACGTTCACTAATATTATCAAAAGGTGAGGAGTCCCTTTGTGCTGCTGTCTTTGCTTTAGATGTTTGAGATCTTAATTTTCGAACACTTGATCGCTTCATAACTTTTGAATAAATATAACTGGTTGCTTTTGTTGTACTACTACAATAGGTTTGATCAGAAGGCATTCTCTATATCCAAAAAAAGAACGAGGATATTCTTTAGACAACCGCAAAGAACATAATTTCTTTTTTTTTAAAAAAACAAAAAAAAAAAAACGCGTTATCTAATAATATACTGAGTATAATTTAAAACTGATGATGTCCACTTTTTACAATTCGGGTAATTTCCAAAATGGTTTGTGTAGCAGAGACTCCTATAAAAAATATGTTATAGTTTAGGCATTTGTTTCTTTTGTTTCTTGCATACAAGCATTATGATATGAACATAGTTTATTAGTTACATAATCAACAAATGGTTTCTCTGTAATAGCTATGCTTTTTTTTTTTTTTTTTTTTTTTTTTCTTTTTTTTTTAAAAAAAAAAATTCCGATAAATAAATAAATTGTTATTCAACCAATCGATCTGTTTGTTTGTTGGGACTTTACTCAAGTTACACAAACTAAATACCAATAATAGTTTATCTTTGTATAATCTTATAATAAATATAAAATTATTAGCAAATATCAAATTTGAAATTAATAAATCATTTAAATTTAAAAAAAAATACAAAAAAATGAATATAAAAAAAAATAATAAATATAAAATCATTTTAAATAATTAAATTCAAATATAATTAGATCTCAATATGATCACAAATTGAATCTTAAAAATATGATTATATTATCATTAGATTCAGTTTCAGTTATCTTAATGTTTAAATTAAAAGAATTACAAAAATTGATTCTATTTATTAGAATTTATGATCTTAAAATATTCTTTAAATCTTACAAGTATTTCTTATATTTAAATTAAATTAATGATTTATATATTATAAAATTTAAGATTATTTAGTTAAATATAATAATAATGAATTTAAAAGCAAATTATTATAAGATTTTACAATCAAATTCTAAAAGAGAATAACATTAAAGAAAAAAGTAATTTTTATAAAGTTATAATCAATTTCTTTATTAATAACTTTAAACTCATAAAAAAATTATAAAACTTACAATAAGGTTAATTTATAATTAAAAAGTTTATTTTATTTATATAAATTAATTTATTATAGCTAAAAGCAGTGACCTTTATTATATAATATTTTAAATTAAAAGATCTTAGTATATATAGTATAATGTAAGATTATTATAAGATAAAAGTTAAGTATATAAACTTATAGTAAATGAATATTATATAATAAATGTTACTGTTCTAATTACTTTACTATATTATAAATTAACTAAATAAAGTTTATTCTTTCTACAACGAATCTTGTATATGAAAGTTATACTTTACTAAATAATAAGAAAATTTGTTAATAGTAAATAATGAATAAAGATAAAATATTTATTATACTAAAATATTATATAATATACATGTTAATAATAGTCTAAGACAGTAAATATAAATTAAAATAATAATATAATAAATACTTGCTTTTAATCAAATATAGATTATCCTATAACTGTTAATTCTAAATCTTATGTAAGATAGTAAGCTTTATTCAGTTTTTTTAGCAAATTCAAAAAAAATTTTATAAAAAAACTGAATTAAGATAAAAAAATGAGTAAAAATAATGGAATAAATAAAGAAAAGGAAAGATAAAAAGAAAAATAATAATTAAACGAAATAATATATGAAAATAAAAAAAAAATAGTAAGAAATGATTTATTGTAATGTTTATAAGGCAAAACATGTTTTTTAAAATAAAAATTAATTTGAGTTAATAGGTGATTAAGAGTGGCAAAAAAAAAGGTAAATTAAAAATTGAAGATTCTTAAAAATAAAATTAGATTATTAATTTAGATTAAAATAATATAATTAAATAAATTTTTATATTAATTAACTAAACTTATACGTCTCCATTTTTTTACATAAGAAGTTAAATAATATAAGTAATATTAAATATTAATAACTTTTAATTTCAATTAGAAAAGTTTATTATACTAATTAAATCTATTTTAGAATAGAAATTTAACTTTTAAAAATTTCTTCTATGAGTTTATTTTTTATTTTGCTTTTCTTTTTGAATAACTAAAATATCAAAAAATATATTTTTGCAAATATAATTAATATAAACTTATTGTTCTTTTTTTTATTAATATTTTACTTACTTTGCAATTTCTTATTATTTCTTTAAACTTATTTTTACATTGAGTACTAGTAAAAATTGTCTTTATAACTTTAAATTACATTATAATTTTATTCTAAAAAGGTATCTTTCAACTAATTACATACTAAAATTAAAATCCTGACGATTTTTAAATATTCTAATAGTATATATAAATAATGTATTATTTGAAATAATTATACAGTATCATTTTGTAATTTACATAAAAAGTCACATAAAAGATAAAATATATATTGTAATATAAAAAGAATTATTCAAAATTTTGAATTATTTATAATATTAGTAATATTATCAGAAAGTTTTAATTATTATTATAAGTTAAAGATTTATTTGCAAATATTGAAGATATTCTATTTTGACATATTAAATTAGCTTAATATAAATTGAATTTTGCTAAAATAAACTAAAATAATAGAATATTTTTATATTAATATTTGTTTAGTATTAATTAATAATATTGTTAAATTAATATTATCATATTTACCTTTAATACTACTTGAGTTTTTAAAACTGAATAAAAACAAAAATAATAGCTATTCTATCTAATATCATCTGAAGATACTAAACATATATATTTATTAAAAAGTCTTATTTAATTATCACGAAAATTGCTAATAAAAAATACAGATTTATTAAATAACTAA